CAATTCTGTGGCCCTCAGTAACAATTCTGTGTCCCTCAGTAAACAATTCTGTGTGTCCCTAAGTAACAATTCTGTGGCCCCTAAGTAACAATTCTGTGTGTCCCTAAGTAACAATTCTGTGTCCCTCAGTAACAATTCTGTGTCCCTCAGTAACAATTCTGTGTCTGTGGCCCTAAGTAACAATTCTGTGGCCCTAAGTAACGTTTCTGTGGCCCTAAGTAACAATTCTGTGGCCCTCAGTAACAATTCTGTGTCCCTAAGTAACAATTTCTGTGGTCCCTCAGTAACAATTCTGTGGTCCCTCCCTTAGTAACAATTCTGTGTCCCTAAGTAACGTTTTCTGTGGCCCTAAGTAACGATTCTGTGGCCCTAAGTAACAATTCTGTGGCCCTAATTAACAGTTTCTGTGGCCCTCAGTAACAATTCTGTGTCCCTCAAGTAACAATTCTGTGTCTGTCCCTAAGTAACAATTCTGTGCCCTAAGTAACGTTTCTGTGGCCCTAAGTAAACGTTGCCCTCAGTTCTGTGGCCCTCAGTAACAATTCTGTGTCCCTCAGTAACAATTCTGTGTCTGTCCCTAAGTAACAATTCTGTGGCCCTAAGTAACGTTTCTGTGGCCCTAAGTAACAATTCTGTGGCCCTCAGTAACAAATTCTGTATGTCCCTCAAACAATTCTGTGTCTGTCCCCTGAGTAACAATTCTGTGGCCCTAAGTAACAATTCTGTGGCCCTCTAAGTAACAATTCTGTGGTCCCTAAGTAACAATTCTGTGGCCCTAAGTAACGTTTCTGTGTCCCTAGTAACAATTCTGTGGCCCTCAAGTAACAATTCTGTGTCCCTCAAGAACAATTCTGTGTCTGTCCCTAAGTAACAATTCTGTGGCCCTAAGTAACAATTCTGTGGCCCAGTAGTAACGTTTCTGTGGCCCTCAAGTAACAATTCTGTGGCCCTAAGTAACAATTCTTGTGTCTGTCCCTAAGTAACAATTCTGTGCCCTAAGTAACAATTCTGTGGCCCTCCCTAATAACAATTCTGTGGCCCTAAGTAACGAATTCTGTGGCCCTAAGTAACGTTTCTGTGGCCCTAAGTAACGTTCTGTGGCCCTCAGTAAACAAATCTGTGTCCCTCAGTAACAATTCTGTGTCCCCTAAGTAACAATTCTGTGGCCCTAAGTAACGTTTCTGTGGCCCTAAATATAAACGATTCTGTGGCCCTCAAGTAACAATTCTGTGTCCCTCAATAACAATTCTGTGTCTGTCCTAAGTAACAATTCTGTGGCCCTAAGTAAACGTTGTGGCCCTTAACTTCTGTGCCCTAAGTAACAATTCTGTGGCCCTAAGTAACATTTCTGTGGCCCTAAGTAACGATTTCTGTGGCCCTCAGTAACAATTCTGTGTCCCTCAGTAACAATTCTGTGTCTGTCCCTAAGTAACAATTCTGTGGCCCTAAGTAACAATTTCTGTGGCCCTAAGTAACGATTTTCTGTGGCCCTCAGTAACAATTCTGTGTCCCTCAGTAACAATTCTGTCTGTCCCTAAGTAACAATTCTGTGGCCCTAAGTAACGTTTCTGTGGCCCTAAGTAACAATTCTGTGGCCCTCAAGTAACAATTCTGTGTCCCTAGTAACAATTCTGTGGCCCTAAGTAACGTTTCTGTGGCCCTCAGTAACAATTCTGTGTCCCCAGTAAACAATTCTGTGTCTGTCCCTAAGTAACAATTCTGTGGCCCTAAGTAACGTTTCTGTGGCCCTAAGTAACGTTTCTGTGGCCCTCAGTAACAATTTCTGTGTCCCTAAGTAACAATTCTGTGTCCCCTAAGTAACAATTCTGTGGCCCTAAGTAACGAATTCTGTGGCCCTCAGTAACAATTCTGTGGCCCTCAAGTAACAATTCTGTGTCCCTAAGTAACAATTCTGTGGCCCTGAAGTAACAATTCTGTGTCCTAATAACGTAACAATTCTTTCTGTGCCCTAAGTAACGTTTCTGTGGCCCTAAGTAACGAATTCTGTGGCCCTAAGTAACAATTCTGTAACAATTCAGTGTGTCCCTAAGTAACAATTCTGTGTGGCCCTAAGTAACAATTCTGTGGCCCTAAGTAACAATTTCTGTGGCCCTAAGTAACGTTTCTGTGCCCTAAGTAACAATTCTGTGGCCCTAAGTAAACAATTCTGTGGCCCTAAGTAACGTTTCTGTGTCCCTCAAGCAGAAAACAAAAAAAAAAAAAAAAAAAAAAAAAAAAAAAAAAAAAAAAAAAAAAAAAAAAAAAAAAAAAAAAAAAAAAAAAAAAAAAAAAAAAAAAAAAAAAAAAAAAAAAAAAAAAAAAAAAAAAAAAAAAAAAAAAGTAACGTTTCTGTGGCCCTAAGTAACAAAAAAAAAAAAAAAGTAACAAATCTGTGTCCCTCAAGTAACAATTCTGTGTCTGTCCCTAAGTAACAATTCTGTGGCCCTAAGTAACGTTTCTGTGGCCCTAAGTAACGATTCTGTGGCCCTCAGTAACAAATCTGTGGCCCAGTAACAATTCTGTCTGTCCCTGAGTAACAATTCTGTGTCCCTAAGTAACGTTTCTGTGGCCCTAAGTAACGTTTCTGTGGCCCTAAGTAACGATTCTGTGGCCCCTAAGTAACAATTCTGTGGCCCTAAGTAACAATTCTGTGGCCCTTAGTAACAATTCTGTGTCCCTCAATAACAATTCTGTGTCTGTCCCTAAGTAACAATTCTGTGGCCCTAAGTAACGTTTCTGTGGCCCTAAGTAACGTTTCTGTGGCCCTAAGTAACGTTTCTGTGGCCCTAAGTAACGGTTCTGTGGCCCTAAGTAACGTTTCTGTGGCCCTCAGTAACAATTCTGTGGCCCTCAGTAACAATTCTGTGTCCCCTAAGTAACAATTCTGTGGCCCTAAGTAACGTTTCTGTGGCCCTAAGTAACGTTTCTGTGGCCCTAAGTAACGTTTCTGTGGCCCTAAGTAACGTTTCTGTGGCCCTCAGTAACAAATCTGTGTCCCCTAAGTAACAATTCTGTGTCTGTCCCTAAGTAACAATTCTGTGGCCCTAAGTAACGTTTTCTGTGGCCCTAAGTAACGAAATTCTGTGGCCCTAAGTAACGTTTCTGTGGCCCTAAGTAACGTTTCTGTGGCCCTCAGTAACAATTCTGTGTCCCTCAATAACAATTCTGTGTCTGTCCCTAAGTAACAATTCTGTGGCCCTAAGTAACGTTTCTGTGGCCCTAAGTAACGATTCTGTGGCCCTCAGTAAACAATTCTGTATCCCTCAGTAACAATTCTGTCTGTCCCTGAGTAACAATTCTGTGTCCCTAAGTAACGTTTCTGTGGCCCTAAGTAACGTTTCTGTGGCCCTAAGTAACGATTCTGTGGCCCTAAGTAACAATTTCTGTGGCCCTAAGTAACGTTTCTGTGGCCCTAAGTAACAATTCTGTGTCCCTCAGTAACAATTCTGTGTCTGTCCCTAAGTAACAATTCTGTGGCCCCTAAGTAACGTTTCTGTGGCCCTAAGTAACGTTTCTGTGGCCCTCAGTAACAATTCTGTGTCCCTCAATAACAATTCTGTGTCTGTCCCTAAGTAACAATTCTGTGGCCCTAAGTAACGATTCTGTGGCCCTCAGTAACAAATCTGTGTCCCTCAGTAACAATTCTGTGTCTGTCCCTAAGTAACAATTCTGTGGCCCTAAGTAACGTTTCTGTGGCCCTAAGTAACGGTTCTGTGGCCCTCAGTAACAATTCTGTGTCCCTCAATAACAATTCTGTTTCTGTCCCTAAGTAACAATTCTGTGGCCCTAAGTAACGTTTCTGTGGCCCTAGTAACGATTCTGTGGCCCTCAGTAACAAATCTGTGTCCCTCACTAACAATTCTGTGTCTGTCCCTAAGTAACAATTCTGTGGCCCTAAGTAACGATTCTGTGGCCCTCAGTAACAATTCTGTGTCTGTCCCCTAAGTAACAATTCTGTGGTGGCCCTAAGTAACGTTTCTGTGGCCCTAAGTAACGATTCTGTGGCCCTCAGTAACAAATCTGTGTCCCTCAGTAACAATTCTGTGTCTGTCCCCTAGTGGCCCTAAGTAACGATTCTGTGGCCCTCAGTAACAAATCTGTGTCCCTCAGTAACAATTCTGTGTCTGTCCCTAAGTAACAATTCTGTGGCCCTAAGTAACGATTCTGTGGCCCTCAGTAACAAATCTGTGTCCCTCAGTAACAATTCTGTGTCTGTCCCTAAGTAACAATTCTGTGGCCCTAAGTAACGTTTCTGTGGCCCTAAGTAACGATTCTGTGGCCCTCAGTAACAATTCTGTATCCCTCAGTAACAATTCTGTCTGTCCCTGAGTAACAATTCTGTGTCCCTAAGTAACGTTTCTGTGGCCCTAACTAACGATTCTGTGGCCCTAAGTAAACGTTTCTGTGGCCCTATGTAACGTTTCTATGGCCCTAAGTAACGATTCTGTGGCCCTAACTAACGTTTCTCTGTCCCTAACTCTCTCCCTGCATACAGCCAGGTCTGCCTCTGTTGAATGACTGGAGGCAAATGGAGAATTCTAAAATGGCCGCCATTTATAGCTCGACCATTACACTGTGCTGGCTGGCTGGCTGCTGATTGGCTAATGCGATCACATGTCATGAATGAATGCATTATGGGTCAGCGCGCCTTGTCTGCGCGCCTTCCCAGACATCCCCGCTCCGTCGCCGCACATGTCGCCGCCATTTTATGAAAAATTTCGATTCGCGCATCCGAAGTCTGCTTATTTTCGGATTCGACGCGAATCGAAATTTTCCTAATATTCGAAACGAATTCCACTTCGCCTACTTCGATTCGCTCATCTCTAATTATCACTCAATTCTGCAAGTGGTTCTAATTTACTATCGCTGTTCTCTAGCTGGTCTAAAACCGCTTTTGACCTAAAGGGATGCTTTTTGGATGCCATGGACATTTCTCAGTTTCCAGGCAGAAAGAACAGTAAAAATGCAGGCAGGGCACAGGACAAAGCACTCGGGGCAAAATGTATGTGAAATGGTTTTGATACACTAATGTTTTACTATGTGATTTTAGTGTATTAGTCTCCTAGATTGTAAGCTCGAAAGAGCAGGGCCCTCGAACCCCTCGTGTATCGCACTGTCTCTGTCTTGTCTCATGTCTTGTCCCCCTGCCTTTGTACAGCGCTGAGCAAACCCTTTGGCGCTATATAAATACTGTATAATAATAATAATAATATTGAGTGAATATCACTTTTTGACACTTTTAAATTTCCCGCCGTTCCGTCCCCGTACATCCTGACGTCGCAGGGAACGGAACCCGGAAGACAGATGCCGGCATCAGCCGGAGGACATTGCCGGGGACGCTGCAAGGGGGACATCGTGGGAGCGCAGGACAAGGTTATTGCAGAAGGGATCCCGGAGCTAAGCTGCAGGGTATTCCTGAGTGTAGCTCGGGGTTACCACTTGTAGTGCTGAAACTTTACCCCGAGCTACACTCGGGAATACCTCCAGGGAGGTTAATTACCACATTCATTTAATAATTTATTTCCTTCTGTAAATTGACTTTACCCCTTTTTATGCAGTATTTACCGAGCATTTTGACAGTTTTGCAGTAAATACTGCATAAATGGTATAATGAATTGACAGTTTCAGGATCGCACGTGATGTATAGGGAAAATGTGTCAGATCACCTAAATACTGCATGTGATCTGCTTTTGTGAATGGATCCCCTTATCTTTCTTTAATACAATGCATCGGTCCTGCTTAGAAGTCAGTTCAAGATGACAAGAAGACAAAAAAAAAACAACATATCTACCGTAACTACTTGTCTAACTCTTGTTTGGATTCTGGCTTCACTGTTCTTTTTGCAACTATACAGCATCACTATTTCACCTTCTTTTGATCTGCTGCAAACACCAGCTCCTCTGTGAAGCTGCAATATCTGCAACCCCGTCCCCTTTTGTGGCACATATGTACTAAGGTGTGCATAGACATCAAAACATGTTTTGTGGGAAAAATACTAGCCTTATGCTCCTTGATAATAATGACCAATAATATTGGAAACAAGTCCCATTTTTATCAGTTAGGCAGCAACCCTAATTGACAGGTAGCAAATACAAACTATGCTCAGCGCACTAGTGAAAAGGTGAGTTAGGAGAATGCCCTTTGATCCCTGTAATCCCAATGGTTAAGAAATCTCAGATAGTTTATCCATCTGCAATCTGTCCTAACTATTGATTTTTTGCCATTACTGATCATCTGCTGCCTGCCCCAACCTATGTTATATCTTTGCTTGTATGTTGTCTACCTTGACATTTCTTTCTTGCATGAGCTTCACTGCAGCAATGTCAGCTCTATACCTCTCTAAGGTTTCTGTCTGTACTTCAGCAGTTGCCACTGGAGTATACCACCAGAGCTGTGAACTATAAATACCATGCAGCAAAACATATCTCCTCACAAAGATATACGCAACACAGGGCACTCATGACAGGTCAATCTTCTTTATTATGGAAAAACACTTTGCATCAAAGCTTTCAAGATTCCAGGCTAGATACAGCATTTTAATACATGTTGGCTTTTATATGACCAAAGACTGCCATTCTAAATCCAATAGATAAAATATTTATGTACACACCTCCCATGAATAAGTTACATTTAACTGAAAGTTCTTCTATCCTTCTGCAGAGGCGTATATAGACTGTAAGGAGCTTGGAGCCTTCTTTGAGGAAAAAATACAGTTTGTAAAAGCAACATATATAACTGTATGAGTGCTTTAATATTTTAAAACGCATATGAGGATAGGTACTATATATTTGTTCATAAATAGGTTGTGTTTGCTATATAGCTAAAGTGACCCTGTAGTCACTTTAAAAGTGCTAATTTGGTACCTTTGATGGAAATTAGTTGTGCAGAGCTCAGAGACTATGTAGAGGGTCCCCAGAGCCACAACACCTGGGGCATTTACAAATCAGGGATGGCTCCTTTGGTCAATAGCTCAGCTCTACACTTTCTTCCCTAGCTCTTCATTGACTCATAACATCACCAGTCATAGCTATAGGCTAATATGGAAGAACAGGAGGTAGGAGAGGACATGGCCAAACTCTTGACTACAGCAGGTGGTAGAGATGGGCTAGGTTTCATGACCCCTGCAATGCTGTGCATAGTATGTGAGCAAACCTGACGTCCATCACTACTTCCTATTTATAATATATATACAGTAATACCGGGTAGATTTAACAAAATATAATTCCTATGTCTGGCTCCTACAGTGAATATACTACCTTTTTTTTTTAAGCTTAGGCTACATACAGGTAAATTATCCTGTAGCTGAACAACAACTTCAATTTAGCACTGTTCCTGTGCTGTCCATCATGCACACTACTTGGAAAAGAAAAAAAAAGAATTCCAAGATAATCTTAAAGTGTATCTAAACCCAAGAGCAAAAAAAAAAAAAAAAACAGATTTCAGTTTACTCAACATGCATAGATTTGGTAGCTGCATTAGTATCTTTTTTCCTGGTATTCCTGCAAGCAACACACTCCCTGCCCTAGGGTAACAACGCTCACTAATTGTAATGTATGGAAGAGCAGCATCGTCACCTTAGGACTACAGAACACTTTGTCCCCTTGGCACAGAGAACTGAAAACAATGGCAATTGCTAACAGTCAGCTAAAGCAAACGGCACATAGTTATCAGCTCACTAGATTTTTGGCAAGATCAACAGGTATTTGTTTGCACTTATTAAATGGATACGGTGCTCAGCATAAATGAGTACACCATTTTTGAAAAGTAAAATTGTAATCAATATCTCAACAAACACAAGAACAATTTCCAAAATTTTGACAAAACTGAGTTTTATAGAACATTTGTTTAGCTCATTACATGAAAGTAAGGTTAATAATACAACATAATTTCAGTTTTACTCAAATTGGTTGATGCAAAAATGAATACACCCCACAACAAAAACTACTCCATCTAGTATTTTGTATGACCTCCATGAGTTGTAAGGACAGCACCAAGTCTTCTAGGCATAGAATGAACAAGTTAGCGACATATTGCAACATCTGTTTCCATTCTTCAAGAACAATCTCTTTTAGAGCCTGGATGCTGGATGGAGAGGTATGGTCAACTTGTCTCAGAATTCCCCATAGCTATTCGATTGGGTTCAGATCAGGAGATATACTTGGCCACTGAATCACTTTCACCCTGTTCTTCTTCAGAAATGCAACAGTGGCCTTAGATGTGTGTTTTGGATCATTTTCATGTTGGAAAAGTGCACAACAACCAAGGGCACGGAGTGATGGTTGCATTCTCTCTTTCAATATAGAGCAGCATATCTGTGAATTCATGATACCATCAATGAAATGCAGCTCCCCAACACCAGCAGCACTCAAGCAGCCCCACAGAAGGACACTGCCACCACATTTCATTGTCGGCACCATGCATTTTTCTTTGTACCTTTGCGACGCCATATAGTTTTGAAGCCATCAGTTCCCAGTAGTCTTCTTTTTTTCAGCATGGGCCCTGGCAAATCCTAGGCGGGCATTTTTGTGCATGGGCTTTAGAAGAGGATCCCTTCATGGACAACACCCATGCATGCCATACTGAGTCTTGGGAAACAATCAACCCAGTTTGGCTTACTACTTCTTTAGGTAACTGCAGTGAAATTGCATGGCAATTTTCTTCTCCTTGCTCCTATCAAGGTGTTAACTTCCATGAATGGCCTGGACGTCTCTGTGAGAGGGCTGCACTTCCATCTTTGGTAAGTTTTTGTATCACTTTTGCTACAGTATTTGACTAATAAGTAAAGCTTTGCTGATCTTCTTGTAGCCTTCACCTTTCTTTGTACAGAAATTATTTTCTTCCTCAGGCCTTGTGACATTTCTCTTTCATGTGGTGCCATTGCTGACAGCATGAAATGGGAAGGGGTTTTCTTTGTTAAGTAATGCCCTTTTATAATCAACTGTCTACTGGACACCTGTTTATTGAATAATTAGACTCAACTGTAGTTGAATTCTTGTTAAGTAGGATTTTGTTATATAAAATTTAGCTTTGCTCCTAAAACTTTCATTGGGGTTTATTCATTTTTGTTAGGAAAAATACTTTTTTGTATGTGCAAATTAACAAATCTTGTTTGCAATCAATGTGCCACGATCAGGGGTCAAGCTCAAAGACCAGTTGCTATAGCAGTGGAAAGGCTTACCTGAAACCAGCAGGATAGGTACACAGGCAGGTCACTGTGGTGGAGGAGCGGGATCACCCGAGGTTCGGAGTCCAAGTACCAACCGGTATTCACCAGAGTGCCTGATGGTGGAAATGGATTTGGCACCAGGTTGTGGTCCTGAGGATCACCCCACCAGGAGGTGAGCAAGCGGAGGTCCAGTAGTGTATAAGCAGGTAAGGATCAAACAGAAGCGTGGTCAGTAAACAAGCCAAGGTCGGTAAGGCGTAGTTGCAGGTTGGGATCAGGCAGAAGCAAACCAAGGGTCAATAACGAGTGATAGCAAAATACGGATAACAGCAGAGACAATAAGGAGCACAATACTGGCTCGAGAGCAGAATAATCAGGCAAACAGGAAGTGCAGAGACATGGCTTATATCAGGAAGTTCATGGGAGGAGTAAGGGGTTCAAGGTTCATGATAAACAAGGTCAAGGTAGGATCATCCAAATAATTGTCAAGGGAGCTGTCCAGCATTCCAGGTGGCTCAGCAAGAAGAAGCATTACCACTCAACACAGAAGGCCCAGGTTCGGACCCAGGCTCTGACACAATGGTCTGCATTTGTGGGAGTAGTTTGTAGTATAGTGTCCCATAAAAAATGTTGATTCGGAAAGTAAAGGTTTTCTGACAAATCTGTTGAGGTGTACTCATTTATGCTGAGCACTGTATAGCACTTTCAATAATATATTTAACAGAACAAAAGGAATTTAATTAGTGAAGTTCATGGTTAGGGTTTGCATAAACTTCAACCATTTCAGCTCTTGAATCTTTATACCCTTTATCACCCAGAGCAGTTTTTACATTTCCGCTGTGATCCTGTTTATTCAGCAATAACTTTGGGATTAAGATAACAGAATAATACATATATTGTTTTTGGAGCACAAACTAGATTTCTTTTGGTATTGCCTTGCAAAAATTATTTTATTTTTTATGTAATCAGTAGACAAAAACACATGAAAAAATGAAAAAAAAAATATTTTTCAATTTTATCAGGGTTAATTTTAAAAAAAAGTGTTTTACTGTAAAAACTTTATAAATTGATTTATAAATTACAAATTTACAATTTTTATATTTATCAATTTTTTACAATTTTGTGCATTTTTATGTGACACTGAAAAAATAACAAACACATGAATAAAAAGGTAAAAAATTAAATACTTAAGATTACAAGTATTATAATAATAACAAAAAAATAATAGCTAAGGGGAAATGGTTAGGAAAAAGTTCATAAGGGCTTATTAGAAATAATTAAGGATTAATGGGGGGGGGGGGGTTAAATACAAATATATTAATTGTTTTAG